ACCTCAGTGTAATTAACTCTCCAAGCTGAACGATATTCATATCTCTCTCCACCGACAAATATCTGAGCTGGACCCAGATATAATAGACACGCTGTAAAATACGGAGATTCGGAATTTAAAATTTGAATTCCCCCATTACTGTTCATTCACGGACGGATTCTGTGCACATTCTGGTTATCTCCAAGCAAAACACCACGATTCGTACACGTGCGTGGACAAGGGATCACGCTAACTCACACAATAGTGATTACTATTTGGTGTAGAGTACGGATTTAATCTCACCTTAACACGTCACCATATCCGTACGTCCATCGACGGATGAAATTGCCTATCGGGTACAATTTCAACAGGGGGCGATAATAATATTATATATAGCGCCCCCCCCGAGCTGGTGCTGACCTAATAAACCTTCCTAACACATTCACACCGGTGTTAAGTTTAAGTGTAATTCACTAAAAGCTAAATAAGCCTCGCCAAGCCTCTTTCCGTTTATGCCAAGAATGTCTTCCTCACCTACCCAACAATGCCCTGCCCAAAAGAACAACTCTTAGAACTCCTCCAGTCTCTCCTCCAACCTAGCCTGTCAACCATACTACATACTTGTCGCAAGGGAGCTCCATGAAGATGAAACCCACACTTCATGCCATGTCCAATGACACGAAAGATCCAACTCCAACCTGATTTTCATCTCAGTGAACCAATTGGGAGGATCTACCATCCAAATATAGAAACTCCACTCGCCACAGCAAGTCACAGTATATACAGAAAGAGGCAAGTTCGTCGAATGGGGAGATTTTCATCTAAGGGAGAAGCTCTTCTCGAATAACATAACAGAGAACACAAACAGACAACTCTGGGGAATACTTGGCGAAGCAGAAACGGGAGGAACAATTTTCTTGCTCTCTGCAAATAAAGATGTCCCACCGATACGTCACAAAATACCCCCATACTCTAACATTTTCCAGGATCATTCAAAAGAGAGAAGCCCCCATATACTAGCCCTTTAATTCATTCCTTTTTAAATGAAAAAGTAAAAAATGGGCAGAATAATATTGTTTGAAGTCGATTCGAGATTCAGACGAGTTATGTCAAATTGTTCTCTCCGTTTGAGGAAGACGATTTCTGTAGATTAGGGATACACAAAATAATATAAACAATTTATATACTGAAAGAAACTCTCCTCCTCTCCTCTCGATAACAGGAACAGAGCAGAGGCCATCCGCCCAATCTCTCTCTACCATCGAAGGACCTCAAGAACAGCAAACCGCCTGGGCCAGAAGCCTCGGAGACACAATTACTTCTCCGGCAAGAATAAGCTTCAAGGACTACGACCAAGACGCCGCTACAACGTCATAGACGACATCAAATACTCGACAGTCCTACCGAATTAATGAAGAATTTAGTAGGCTGCCAGAGAGATTTCCATGTATGTTAAGTTCCAACAGATCTCACTATTAGAGGAGGAATTCCTTGTATTTATTAACAAATGGGGACAGTAGTTGGTTAGATGCAATGTCCCATTAATGAGAGAATGGTTTGATTTTAATGTGACCATGTTATGATTAATGAAAATTTTTATAATTTTATTTTGAACACCGCTCAAAGTTTTTATTACTTACTACATTTCCTATCATTCCACCTATTACATCTGGGATCACATCACTATTTTTACAACTGATGATTAATTTCGTAAAACATTAGAAAATTCTGCTGCATCCATAACAACTGATCCTACCGATCAACTTCCTTTGCGTTCACCAACCTTGAAATCGACGGCCCAGGATCAACATCACTAGATTCTACACACCTCTGCGTACATCAATCTCTGACAAACTCACGACACTCTGCGTTCATGAACTGACGCACAACTTTCCCCAAAACCTCTAACAACAATCTCTTCGCCTTTCGAAACACAACAGATTAGTCCGTGTCAGAATCGGAATGGCCTTCGTTGGAGGACAATGCAGACTCAACATTATCATTAGTATATTTTTTAGATAAACAACAATAGAGGGGCCGCTCATTTGCGAATCTTCTGGCATGTCACTTGTAGAATACTTCAGATACCCTCATTTTACAATACGTAACCCCCTTTTAATATTGGAATTTCAAGTCGATACTTCACCATCCCATGGCCTGTTTGTCGTTAATTGAACAATAACCATTCCCATAATAGACTAACTCGCATTGACAATCTACTGGGAAATAAACCATGCCTGCAAACTGTCCATTACGTCTAACCTCCGATCATAAACATTTACTCTGACCAACCACTAGCATTGGGTGCGCAAAGGGGGGAATATTTTATCAATATTATATCAACCTTAATACTTTTTTGTTGTATCTTAACCTCAATTGAGAATAAAATTAGGCAACGCAAGTTCATACAACTGAAATCACTTGCGTAACATGAACTTTGAAACACCTTCAACAACCCCAGTTTTTATATCGTCCACCTCCATTAACCTGAACATTAAAAATAAAAATACATCAAATTACAATTCTAAACAGTTTTAAAGTACATTTGACTCCTTAAAGTAATTTTGTATTCATTTCCACTAACAGTAGCAGCCACTAAATATATGGCACCCTTTTGAATGCTTCCAACATTTCCCAACAGCGTATCTTTGTAGCTATGTAGTTAATATTTTAAATTAGACTGTCATTTTATTCTATCCCATCTTTTGATAAATAAATTCTACATTCCCTACTGTCTTATAATTTTTCCATCGAAAATGTAGAAGTGGAAAAAAAAATAAAAAACTTAGAGCGATTATCCTATCTCCATTGTAAAATTAATCTTGAAATCAGGGGCCTTTTCATCTTCAATATCAAAATAATTTTAGAATTAATGAATAGTAGTGTAATGTTGAAGAACTTAAATTAGGTTAATCTTCAAACAAAAATCTCAACAAATCATGGATCATCCAGATTGCTAACTATGGTCAAGTTTTCTATTCTTGTGAAAAGAACGTGGGCTCTTCCCTGAAAGCAAATGGTGTAAACAAAAGTCAATACAATCCATTCAATTTGGTCCAAGTTCACACAACTATTAATGGGCCCTTCTTCCAAGGGCACTGGGCAAACCCGCAAGACCACGAAATCCAGGGAGAGGTTATTCCACGCCATTTATTACATGACAAGTCTCATGATAGTAATTATTCACCCAAAAAAAGTCTCATGATAACTTGTCTTCAATTCAAAATATAGACCGGACTATGCTGTCTTGTCATGAGTTTTATTTTAGAGTAATATTAAAGATATTGAGTTTGTGTTTCTCAAAATTTTTTAGAAAAAATTCTTTACAAATAAATTTTTAAAAGTAATCAATTCAAATAAATTTTTCTAAAAAAATTTCCCAAAACTTGTTTGGTTTATAAGTTTTCCAAACAAATCTCTCTCTCTCATACACATCAAATCAATCACTTTTTCCAAAACTCTCTCTCACAATAATTTTTTAAAACATCTTTTGAAAAAAATCAAACCAAACAACTTTTCGTACTTTTTATCTCCCAAACTCAAACCAAACATACCCCAAAAATCTTATTAAATTTTTTATCAAATATCTCATATGGGTGTGAGATCCATATCATGTGGGTCTCATTTGGGTCCTAACTTTTGCTAGAAATTTTAGAATTTCTAACATTTTTGTTTATTTTAATAATTTGAATTATTTATTTTGTAGAGTTTTTTTATGTTTGTTATTTTTGAAAAAAAGTAGTGCAATCTAACAATCATATTTATCTCAAAATAAATAAATAAATGAGAAGTGTGTTTTTTTTTTTTTTTAACAGAAAAAACTTCATTTTTTTGGATAACAAACTTGATAATAAATTGAACATGCAACGATCATCGAATCATTCTAATTCTTTTCAATGATGATATACACAAAATACTTTACAAAATAAACAGTTTAAATTATTGATACAAGACTCATGGTAAATCCCACAAACTCGAACAACACATTCTAATTCAATTCAACCCTTAATAAAAATCAACTCAAACATATTGGAGGATCACACTATTTAAAAAAATAAAATTCAAATTAAGGCGTGAGATGAACTTTTCCCAAAACCACCACATAATTTTTACAAGAACCGCTTTGCCATCATGCCATTGGCAGGAGGAGCACATGTGGGAACATCTCTACAGGCTGACGAATCATTTCAATAATACCGGCACTGCCGTGCCCAGACGTGGCTACACCGTTGAACTTCAAAATTTTGTTAAAGAGTATATTTAAATTTTATATAAAATTTCAGAGTTTTTACAAATTTAATCCAATGAGTCTAGAAATAAAATATAGAGTTTTAAAAGCTTACTAATTAACTCTGGTAGAGTTAAAAAAAAAAAAAGGCAAACTTTATACTGAATTTTCAGTCTTCTATAAGTAAATTCAAAGTTTATTCGTATTAGAGACTTATCCCATATCATTTCTTTAAATCACTCAAGTTAGATTCATATAATCTGGCTGCTATGCTATCTATGGCTAATTAGCATTATTGTACACTCAATTTTATTTGTGTTTGTGTCCCTTATTTTTTTGATTTATTTACTCATTTGTTTGAGACTTATTTCACATCGCTTATTGTAACCTATTGATTTTAAATTGAATGTCTCAAATAATTATAACTTTTAGTTCTGTCTTGAGTCTCAATATTGACCATTTAATTCTCCAATGACTACTGTTGTGTTTATCTTCTAATAATTCTAATAATTTGTACTCTCACGGCTCTCGAGGATCAATTCTCTAACAATTATAGTTGTGTTTATTCTCATAAAATGTGAATATTTGCTTATTTTTGTTTAAATATTAATCTCCCAATATTTTGTTTTTATTCTTAATTTTATTAATTTGAATTATTTTTGTCAGTATAATAAAAATATATATAATTTACAAGTTTCATGTGAAAGCTAATGTTAATAAGTTTTGTAGAACTAAAAATACTAAATAATAACATTGATGATGACTTCTTGTGCTTCTTGCTATTATATATATGCTACTATGTACATATGCAAAGATAGTCTAACCATCCCTCCTCTCTCTCTCTCTCTCTCTCTAGTAAGATGGTGAACAACAGGGCTTTAGTTCTTATCACTTATTGTTGCTCCCTCTTCATTTGGTTCCTCTTCATTTCGAGTGCTATGGCTGCAAGACAATTACCCACTGTTTCTCAAACCGGTTTGTACTCTCTCTCTCTCTCTCTCTCATATTAGTACATATCCTTGTAGTTATGTTTTCACATTCTCCTATTTTATTCTTGTATTATTGTCGCAGCAGCATTCAGTTGTCCAACTACAATTCATGCCGACCCCCCTTCAAATCCGTCACCTCCATCCCGTCCAAGTCCGTCACCTACAGCCCCTAGCTGCGGAGCAAAATCTGAAACAAACCCCTAAAAAGAGAGAAGAGAAGAGAAGTGAAGCAACCATGTTATATTACTTCTAAGGGACTTAGAGAGGACCTTAAATTTGCTGTCCCTTTAACTTTTTTTCACTTTTTTTCTTTTTTCAGTTCTTATTATAAGGAAGAGTCACGGTGTGATTTCATATATGTCTATGTTGCCAAAATTATATTGCCCTTTGTGCTTTGTGTGTGTTTGGATTCAATTTCAAGTCACTATTTCATAATAAATAGAATTTATATTAATACAATGTTTCTGTATTTTTTATTTTTGCTTCTTATTTCTATTTTTCTTTTATTTTTTAAAATTTTTTATTTTGGGTTCGATGAGTTTGTTTGGGATTGGCATTTTAATAAGGACACTTTACACGTTTCTATTTCTATAACTCTAGGACCAATAACCAAATCTTAAATTTTTTAGGCTAAAATGACATTATTTATCCAAAAGGACATTTATCTGTTCAAAATTTACCTATCTATCTATATGTTCAAATGTCATTTTTCTGTTTAAATGTCTCACTATCTGCACACGTGTCACTTATGTTTGTAACTTTTTGTTCAAATATTTACTTATCTATTCAAATGTCACAACTTTTGAACTTTTAAGGAGATGAGTCCAAGCTCTACACCTTTAAGCTCATAAGTTATTTTTGTGAGACAATAATGCCCTCATATGTATTTAATATTAAAATTTTTAAATTCTCATAACTTCATATGTGCATGTTTGTTATTAATAAAATTGAAATTTATAATTGATCTTTCTGATATCAATATGAATCTAAAAACACAAAACAAAACAATTAAATATCACTGTCTAGTTAGATTTCATCGTTTAGTTAGACTTAAAAAAATAAAATAAATAAAAACTAGACAATGAATCAGAGCAACCAAATGACTTTAGAAATTATGAAAAGATCTTACTAACAAATGCCCCTAAGGTACATATAAGAGACACAAAATACTTTTTAGGGGCATTTATACACAAGTTTTAACTAATATTTTTTGGACCTTCAAGTTTCATTAAATTTTTAATAGTCGGAATTGCCCTTCAAACAATGATTGTTCATCATTTATAATTATCTATAAAGAAACATGATGATTTAGCATTTATTTTGATTTTCAAAACTTTAAAATATCAATTTTTAAATCGAAAAAACTATAAAAAAAGTGCAAAAAATTAAAAAAATTGAATTATTTTTTTTGTGAAAATTTGAAATTTTTTTGTCTATAAAGGAGCATGATGATGGAACATTGATATGTAAATTTGGAAGGAAAAAAAAATTAAAAATGAAAAAATTGATAATGTTCTCAGTTTTAAAATTGAAAAAACTGATAATGTTATCAGTTTTATTGGATAGTTGAATCAAACCAATAAGTATAAGGGCAAAAACATTTAATTTCATGCTCTGTTTTTTTAATCAGTCTGGGAAACAATTATCTGGAACAATATTATGCAAAATTGATAATGCCCTTAGTTTTAAAAATTAGAAAATAATAATATTCTTAATTATACTAAATATGACTTATTGGTTTAAAAAACTTAAATAAGACTTGAGCTACCATACCATTTATAAATAGGACTTTTAAGTAATTAACTATACTTTTTATTAAATTCAATGTATTTTTATTGAAATCAACACATTTTTTTTAACATTTTCACATGTTTTTAAGATATTTTCTACACACTTCCTAATATTAAATAATGACTTGGGAGAACTTGTTAGCATTTGCCATTATGAAAATCGTTTAGAACACTTTTTACATGTGATTAAGATACACTGTACAAATCCAAAATAATAAAAAAAGGATGCACAGTAAATTTTGTAAGAAAATTCTAAATATATAGCTTGACAGATAAAAAACCACAAAAGAAAATCGAGTAGAAACTACCAAAAGCGAGCAAAGACCCTAAAATTATGTACAAAACACAAAAAAACATTTTCAAAAAATTAACCATGTAAAAGGTAAAAATATGAAAAGAAAATACGAAGAAAATAGTTAGTCTAACTATGTGTTTAATTGTCCACTTTAATTGTCATTTTCACGTTCACAAATAGTTCATTTAATCCTCCTACTGTAAATTCTAATTGTGTCAATTTTGAAATATGTGGTTCTATTGACCAATGAAATTTAAAAAATAATAAATTTATTAAAAGGGCATAATAACACAAACATTTATATTCAACCATTTGATGAAATCACTATTATTATTTTAAAAATTGCTCATTTAATTCTTAAGGTGAAGTTTAAAAATGTAAAATTATTAAGCTGTGTATGATTAAAAATATGGAACCTTATTTAGTAAATCCCATTTTTAAGAGTTCTATTCTATCTATCCTAAAATGTTTTTGAGTATTCTATTACGTCTTAGTCTTAGTCTTAGTCTTATTTGATGTTATAAGGCCAAATAGCCCCAAGCCCTCCCATGCGTATTTCCATTCAAGAAATCAAACATGATCAAATAATTCCTTTTTCATCATTCTATACTAGTATATTACCCATACTATGCACAAGTATGAATAAATAATAAAAAATTAGTTTTAAAATTAAATAATAATATAAAATTTATCTAAAATATGTAGTAAAAATGATTTATAATCAATTAAATTTTATTTATTTTTATTCGAGTTACACATAAATGACTTGTATATTTATGTCAACGTGACATTCACCTAATTATTAAAATTTGTCTTGGTCTATGTGTAGCGATCCTGGTTTCGATCCTTCTTTCATGTTTTGCCACTTCGACTGGGGCGATCGGGGATCGAGCTGCCCGGTCGGCTCTCGGGGGTAGAGGGAGCAGTGCCCCTTGGTGGGTTCGAGGGCAGCGCCCCCGAAGCAAAAATACATAATGCATTCGAAGTTGCTTGTCCGCTCGAGTGACCGTTTATGCGCTCAAGCGGAGAATGTTTGATTTGAGAAGTTTGACTTTTTTGCAAAAGTACTGGGTTAGTGTATTTGATGCTCGAGCGGGGCTTTCCACGCTCGAGCGGATCATGTTATATCAGTTCGTGAATCTGATATTTTAGATCACTTTTTCAGTCCTCTCTCTCTCTAAAACTCTCCAGAATTCCAGATTGGGAGCTTCTCTCTCTAGAAGTCATCTTTTCTCTTTGATTTATCTAAATCCATTGGGATTTATACCTAAGTTCTTCACCAAAGTTGGTTATCATCTCGAGGGCTTCGTTGTGTGCGGTGAAGATAGAGTTTTGACACCGTTGATTTTGGGGGTTTCATCTCATTTCTTCTTCAAAACTTGAGGTAGGGATTTTTTTAAAGTTATATATATATTTTTGCAAGATCAATATGATTTTCGAAATCATCTTTCGATAGCTTTGAAAATTGATTGTTGATTCAAGAAGTTAAGTGATTTTGAAAGTGGATTTGTCTCTTGTTATTTTAAAATGATCTTATGGGTTTCGATCTTCGTTGATTGAAGAAAAGATGATTTTGGAAAGTTTTCTTTCAAAGGATTTGAGTTGTATAGTTTTGATGAGAAAACTTAGAATTTGGGAATATTTTTTAAAAGAGAGTGAAAATCCATGAATGTCATTGTTGTATTTATTTTGTGTGTCAAAATAAATGGATGTTTGGAAAATTTCTTATTTATATTTATATAAATGATGAATTTAAGGGAATATGAGAATTGTTGTTCATTTTGGAAATTATTATTCAAAACGTTGAAATAGTCTTGAAATGACTAATTGTTGAGGATACTTGAGAAGAGAGAATTGTGTTATTCTTTGGATGATGAATTGAAATAAAAGTATTTATATTCATCTTGTGTTATTGGTATAACAATTCATTTGATTACATCAAACTTTAAAAGTTGATTTGAAAACTTGCATTGAGAAAATAATGTTAAGAAACAAGTTTTCATAAAATGGTTTTAGGGTAAATACGTTGGTGAGTCTTGATAGGTGGTGTAGATGATATTGAATAAGTTGGCCTGAGAGTCTGGGGTGAAAGACCGAAAATCCGCATGGATAGGTGTCGAGCCTTCCGGTTAATACCGGTAAAAGTGACAATTTGGTTATACTTGTATAGTCTACTTGAAGACATCGACCTAGGGATTACCAGAGTTGTATTTACCGCTGTAGACACCCCATTTTTGACCGTTCTCAAGACTTGGACGTCATCGTTTGAACACTCAGTGATCATCCTTGTTCGTGTTCGTCTTGAGTTCCCGGAGGTCTCGGCTACGTGCCTTGCCTCAAGATCTCTCGACTCGACTGTTTTGTGTCTGGTTTTGCACCAAACACTTATTGTTTTGCTTCTGAGGGTGGGAAATAGCTTGTAGGCCATCCCCACACCTCATCGGCCATGGCTTGAGGCCATCGGTCTTGTTTCCTTGCCACCGGCCATTGGTGATGGCCGGTCGGCACTATTGATGGTCGGTCAGCATTGTGTTTGGTCGGCCGGCCACTGTTTTTGATCAATAGGCCACTTTTCCTGGCTGAGACCTTTTCTTGAGGGAGCTTGACCCTTTTGAGCTTTTTTTTATTTTATTTTAGCTTCTTGAGGGAGCTTGACCCTTTTTAGCTTCTCCAAGAAGCTTGACCCTTTTTAGCTTCTTCAATAAGCTTGCCCCCTTTTTTAGCTTCTCCAAGAAGCTTGACCTTTTTTTTAGCTTCTCCAAGAAGCTTGACCCCTTTTTTTAGCTTCTCCAAGAAGCTTGACCTTTTTTTTAGCTTTTCCAAGAAGCTTGAACCTTTTGACCCTTTTTAGCTTCTCCAAGAAGCTTGACCCTTTTTTTAGCTTCTCCAAGAAGCTTGAACCTCTTGACCCCTTTGCCTAGCTTCTCTAAGAAGCTTGGCCCTTTTGATCCAAGCTTCTAAGAGAAGCTTGGCCTTTTTGCTTAAAGCTTCCAAGAGAAGCTTTGCCCCTTTGGTTTCTCTATAAAAAGAGGGCCTCTCCTCCCCTTTAGAGGGTTAGAAAAAATCAGATATATATGATATATATATCACTCCCTCTCTCTCTACATTTGTGTGGATTAGAGGGTCCAAAAGGGTCTTGTTCTTGGCCTATTGCATACCACTGCATAGCCACACACTTCCATCATCACTTGGAGGTTCTTGGAGCTTGTTTTTAGAGGTTGAGGGTTGCATTTTTGGGTCTAAAGGCTGCTGGTTCTTGCTGGTCTTCAAAAGTAACCCCTTTTCCCTCTTTATTCCCCGTTTTTGCACACCCATTTAGCCTGTCTTGCTTGCTGATTTGGGCTTTGTGTATAACAGAAAAAAGTTATTTTTTT